TGAAATTAAGAATTAATACTCTATTAATTAACAATTGATGCTGACAGCACAGTCCTTTGTATCGATTCTATAACATTACCCATTGATTCAAAATCTTCGTAGTATCATGTACTAAATAGGTAATTAATAAGTTAGAGAGTAATTAGAATTTACTTGAATTGATTTTTGCAATCGTTTCATTCAACAAATTTGAAGTTTAAATTTTAATGTTTATGATTTTTTTTAATTTTTTAATTACGAATTTCTTTATAAAAGAAATAGATTAGAGAGAAAAATGTTTTAATTAAGAATCTGATTAACAAAATATTAGTGGTGTATTAGTTATGTAAATTAGCAGAGATAATTGACTGTACTTTGTGATTAGGTCCCCAGTTCAAAAGAAGGAAGAGAACGAAACGAAGTTAAGAAGAGTTGAAAGCCAATGTGTTGGGGCAGCCCTTGTCCCTCTACTTGTAAGCATATGATTTAAGGGTGTTCCCCAGTCTTTAATTTCTCTCCCACGTGACTTATTATGTGGTATTACTGGACATCAAAGGCCCATTCATTATTCCTGTTGCTTGGGCTCCACCCTCGGAATTCAAGATTTACGGTGTTTGCTGTGCTAAAGTACAACCTTTTCAACGCTTTAGATTTGCCATTCTCTTTCTGAATTTTATTTACAAAAAATTAAAAAAATATATCATATTCAATAATTAAAAAAATATTAAAAATTATACATTTGAGATAATTTTAATAAATAAAACTAAATTCAAATTAAAATTTTTTATGTTAAAATGAACAATTTTTATCGATTGAACTAATCTTTTTAATCTTGTTATATATTTTTAATTTTATTTCATTTCACCCCTATATATATATGTATTAAAATTGTTTGACACATGAGGACAATGAGAGATGAAAATAAATACTCTGCTTCAATTAATGTTTTATATAATTGATTTATTATAAGATTTTACCAAAGAAAACTTTAAGGATACTTTTGAAGATTAATTACTATACAAAGTAATATTTTTGTTCAATGCATTAATAAAATTATTAACTGTTACATTCAATATAAAATTATTATTATAAATAGAATAATAATTAATCTTAAAGGTACTTTTAAAAAACTAGTTAATAAAATAGTTAATTGTACACTACAATAAAGAACCATGAACAATATATTTTATAAGGATATTTAATAATTAAAATTTGAAATTTCAACATGAAAAGCATTTTAAGTTCAAATTTTAATAAGAAAGGAGAAAAATATATGGGATAAGAAAAAATTATCCAAGACCTAGCTAATGGATTCTCATGATGTATAAAAATAAAGTTTGGGTTTTGTAATATAGATTTAATGGAAAAGCAATGCAACTTTTGTCAATTTGGCAGTACTTAGCTAGATATTAGGAAGCATCTCATTCCTGATTTTCCTTTTCCCACCTAAATTTCCTCTTTGCCTTCTCTTTTTTCTTATCCATATCTCTATGTTTTATACTACTTCTATTCTTTCATATCTATTTTTTTTTTTTTTACAAAAAAAAGCTTGAGCACAAGGGTAGAAAAAAATTATTATAAATATTAAAATTTAAATCTCATATTTATCAAATATCACCTTAACTTTTTAAAAATGATTGTATAAATCAATTAAATTAAATCTTAAATTTTATTTTTTTTCATATTTATTATTTCTTTACCTACTTCATGCATAATTGGACCATCTTCATAAATGATGTCATAAATATTGGTTTCATTTTAATGTTAGTATGTATGTATATATATATATATATATATAGTTGATGTCATAACTATTGGACCCTCTTGATTTGATGGAGATAGATATTTATGATGAACATTTTTTAAGTTTGGGTTTGAATCTAGATAAGTAAAGTCACATTAATTTCTTCATTTTTTTTTCAATATAGAAACAAAATATGTACATGACCAATAAAGTTATGCTCAAAATTTTAATTTTTCTATTATGAAAAGGGGCACGCATGCAAATTTAACATTTTCAAGTAAGGGATATATGTATTTACCAAAAAACTAAAAATTATTGGATAAAATACACAAACACTCATCCAATTTTAAAAGTCGTTTTAATATAATCACTAAATTATTAAAATTTTGAATTTAATTATTTGAATTTTAATAAATACTGATTAACGACGTGCTGACGTAATAATATCACGTTAATTATTAGGTGTCACGTGGCATTGCCACATTATATGACAAGCCATGTGGCATTGTTAATGTAGTAAAAAAAAATTTAGTTACTTAACTTTTCAAGATTTTCTATTCTGGTTACTAAACTTTAAAAATTTACAATTTGGTCACTAATAAATAAGTTTTCAACTTTTTATAAAAAAATATTAATAGGTAGTATTTTTTATTTCATAAAATTAAATTATAATTTTTTATTTTATTATAATTATATAATTTATATTGAAAAAATGGATAAACATTATTTACTTGCAAAATTATTAAAATAATATTATTTAAAATTTTTATCATTCAAGTTATCCAAATAAACTCAAGTTAATATTTTATATTTCATAATATGAAGGTTTAGTTTTAATTTCTTGTAATAAAAATATTAAAAGAAATATAACTAAAGTAATAAAATAATTTATTATATTAAATTTTACAAACTATTGATGATTAAATCATTATAAAGCTATGTTAAGGATGACATCCAAATATTAATAATTTCACAAACATTTATTACAAAATTGTAAAAGTTTAAAATAGTTATTTTAATTTATTTGGATTAAATGAATGACAAAAACTTGAAGTAAATATTTTAGTAATTTTGGCAATGGATTAATATTCATCTAATTTTTTAAATTTAAATGGTATAATTGTAATAAAATAAAAAAAGTTCATAGTTTAATTTCATGCAATAAAAATATTGATTGTTTATTTCCATTTTCTTATAAAATTTAATGGTTTATTTGAGCATTATCCCAATATATTTCAATAGGTAATATAAATAATAAAATAATTTATTATATTAAATTTCATAAACATTAATGACCCAATCATTATAAATTCATCGTGACAATGACCCATACATTGATAATAAAAATCAAAATATTAAAAAATTTCACAAACGTTGTGATCAAAATATCAATAAATTTCATATTTCATAAAATCAATATTGCAATTACAATAAATTTATGTTATCTATATTTATTTTAATACTTTATTGCATTAAATTAAAACTATGAACTTTCATTGTAGTTAATATCTTGACATTATAAAATAAAATATAAAATATATACATGAATTTATTTAGATGGGCTAAAACAAAAAGATTTAAAAGTAATTCTATTTTAGTAAATTTGGTAATTAGATAATATTCATCCATTTTTCAAATTTAAATTGTATAATTACAATAAAATAAAACATTTATAATTTAATTTCATGCACCAAAAAAAATTATATGCTTATTTTTATTTTTTATTAAATTTGAAGATTTATTTGTTAGTGATTAAATTATAAATATTTCGAACTTAAGTGATCATAATAGAAATTCATAAAAAGTTAAGTGATCAAAATATAATTTATTTTCATTTTTAATTTTCAAATTTTATGATGTCACGTTAGCAATGTCATATGACTTATCAAATGATGTAATAGTGTCATGTAATACTTGACATCTAATGTGGCACTACCACATCAGCACGTCATTAAAAATTAATTGTTGAGTGATTATAATAAATGTTTACTTAAATTTAAATGATTAAATTAAAAAAATTAATATTTTAATAATCATTTTAAAATGACCCCTAAATTTGAGCAACTATTTGTGTATTTTATCCAATATTATTACTTGAATGATACTCAGCATATGACTCAATGACAGGAGCAGGTTCCTCTTTCTTCGAAACAAAAAAAGTTACTCAAAAGCAATTAATGCTTTATAGAAAAACTATCGAATTAAAGTTTTTAAATTTTAAAAATGAAATTAAAAAAATAAAATATACTCATTAAGATATATTAAAAAAAATTAATTAAACAATAAAGTGTGTATCAATTTTTTTTAATATGGTTTATAAAATTAAAAATTTATATTTATAATGTATCAAATACTAACTCATACTTTAAATCGATTGCTTTTATAAAATATGCGAATGACATGAAAATGAATTGAAACTAGTGCTAGTAGCAATGATATGACTTCCAATTAATTTCCAAAATTTTCTCAATGGAATATCAAGAAATTAATGCCCTCCAGCCAGATCATAATGAGATAGAAATCAAAGAAATTAAACAGTAAGAGAGTGGATATATCATATCGTAGATAGGGGAAACAGTAAAGCTAATTCTCTGGTGATCTGTTGTTTCTCAGTCCAGCAGATGCTTGAAAAGTTGAAAATGTATGTCTCTATATTCTAAACTTAATTAAATTAGTTAATGTAATTAACTTTAAAAGTAGCATCCAATAAATTTAAAATTTAAATTTCAAAATCTTACAATTCCTTCATTTATTTCCAAATTGTAACCTTTTTGTAAAAAATTTGTATGTCTCTCTTCCTTTGGGGAAGCAATTAAGAAAGCCATGGAGATGATAAACGCACAGTCATTCATTTTGACCAATTCCAGAGGCTAATTTTAGGATTAACTTTTGTTTTGTTACTCAAAAGTTCCATATGTAACAATTCTTTTATCATCTTGCAGAATATCAGATTGAATTTCCTTTGAAAAGAAAAAAAAAAGATAGCCCAAAGAGATAAAGAGAGTAGATGTTAAGATTGTTTCAACTTTCAAGTTTCAACACAAAGCTTTGCTACATGCTACAGATGTAACATGCTCATCTCCAGCCATGCCGCCACTTCACCTTTCAAAAATGGAGGAAGGTCCCTTGGTGACAGCATAGAGAAATGATCCCAAATTCATGGAGGCTGGAGATCACAAAATTTGAATAATAACAATATGATAATACGCCTATCTATAGTCCCTTGGACGACAAAAATATGAAAAGGGATCTCGAGAAAGTTGAACATGGAACGAATTCAAGGACAAGGGTTTGCTACATATCTGGGGTGGTCATCTCCTGCCATGACGACCACTATTTGTGGCTCCATACCGGCTGATGCTTGTATGGTTTCTTTGTACTTCTCTTCTTTCCCATTTGGAAATTCAGGGGATGACCTTGGGTGACTGCAAGCAAGGAAGAGCAACGCCACCGCGATGATACCAAAAACGATAGCAAGGCCTCCAAAGACATAGGGAACAGGAGAATTCCATTGCAATAGGCCACCACAGCTGGCCGTAGAATTACCTGTTGGGCTCATTTCTCTCTAGCTTTCTTTGCGCCTACACTATTTTCTTGTGCAAAATGAACTTGGTTAAGTTTGATGATCACCAAAATAGGCTCAATTTATATGAACCTGCCTAGTGGATGCGTTAGGCCATGTTGGTTCTTTCTTTTGTTATTCACATTACTAAAACGCCCCTAGTTTAGCTGATAGATGCTTCTCTCTAATTTGTTCTTTACTTGTTGATTAACATATATTAGATGATAATTATGTAGCCTAATCATGTACTTAAGCATGCAGTCATCATCTGTGGTTTTTGATACAACAAGACTGCCTAGGCATGAAGATAGGAAAATAAAAAAAATTCTTATAAAAATTAACTCAGATTGGTATATTATTCCTATGAAATGTAATTGAAATTGCATCTATTTATCCAATGAAAATTGATTGAATTCGTAAGAATCGAATATTTTACTTGTAAAATTTATGTTTGATGTACATTGTCAGTAATTTTTTTATGGACAATTTGTAAATTTAATATAAATCCTCTTTAAAGCTTACAACATACCCTATCGTAAAGTGGGGTGAGCTCCTCTCACCTAAACTTCTATGTATTAAAAAAAATTTGCATCCACTAATATTAAGAATTTAGAATCTTTGGAGGTGTGCATTGTCAAAATTAATGGGAGGGTTAGTTTCGGGAAACATGAAAAGCCAGAGGACTAATTCCCTTTGCTTTTTACAACAGTATAGAATCTTCAGATCACCAGAATCATCTTTGCAAATTCATAAATTCAATTCACATTCAGAGAGTATTGAACCAAGTTGATAGGAAAAGGTAATATAAAACGAATGATTTTTTAAGTTGGCCATTACCAAACAAATCCTTTTGGCCTACTTGTTCTCATCTCCTCTGTTTCGGATTCTACACCATTGTTTCTCTTCTTAAATCCATCTACTCTGGGGGAGATTCCGAAAGCTTTTGACACTTTAGGGTAATCTTACAACATCTTTTGACATAAATGAATAGTTGATTTTGGTAAATATGGAATATTGCATCAATGCATCTTGATCATCTTGTCTGAAGTGGAATTGAATTTTTGTGACTATGGTGTTGAGTCGAATGTTAGGCAAAAAACTTTTATTCAATCAAGTCAACGGAAGTAAAATCAAATAATTAATTAATCACATGAGAGATGATAATTTAATATAATTCAATTCAATTGACTTACGTTTATGGATGAAAAAAAGATTTATTAGTTATAAAGAATTACAAACATACATTCAAATCAAGCACTCACAATTAATATTCATAGATCTTTTTAATCTTCTCTAATCTTATAAAGTATTATTAACCCAAACATACAGATACTCATGTGTACTTTTTCAACACAAATAAACATAAATTTATATGTACCTATGCATCATATCTATGTGGACCATTTCATTCTCGTTTAGTTCACTTATAAACATTCACCCCATCATAAGGACATTAATCTCCTATAATTCTATGGAATGTTTATCTTATAAAATCTTACAACTTGATCTATTTATAAGTATACAAACTTACTTATTAAAAATTCTTGTCCTCTTAAATTTTTTTTTTTTACAAATTTTTATTCATCAAGTAATATCTAACTAATTTCAAATAAATTATTTATAAGATTTGAGCCATTATTTCTAACAATGATAACAGTAAATACTTAAGAATAAATTATTAAAAACGTGTTCAGCAGGGGCTGCGGTGATTGTAAGGATGCATCTGGCAGTGTAATTTGGGATTGGGATGTGGGTAAGAAGGTGATGTCTGCTTGCTCTGGAGAATGAAGCCAGAGCCCTAATGGAAGGAGTCAAGATTGCTGCTGACTTGGGATTACAAAATGTAATTAATCCCGGAAACAGACTCAAGAATTTTGTATCAGGACTTTTAATCATAGTGTTCATTAGAAAAAAATGGAGAAGCTTCCATTTGTTCAAGGATATTTCGGATGCTTCAAGCTACATTAACGGGTTCCTAGAAAAGCTAATACAGCAGCAGATTGGGTGGCAAACCAATCTAAGAGAGCTGCGTAATACCAATTAAAGATCATCCATACTCAACCCTAGACCTGATTGTCAAAGTGAAGAGTTAATGCAATTAGTCCCTTCTTTACAAACTACGGCCTCTTTTAAAAAGGAAAAAAAAAAAAAAGAAAAGAGAAAACCAACATATTGAATCAAACTTCATTGGTAGACTGCTTAGATATCATCCATTCTTTTTTCGTAGTTCCAGACTCAAGATGGGAAGAAAAAGAGGAACAAAAATAGTAAAAGAATTCAATGTTTCATGGCCTACAAGAGCTAAAGGTGCAAGTAAAGCGACCCAAGAATTTTGGAAACATGACAAGGCACAGCATCTCTTTGAAAATTTTAACCCTTTTCAGAAGGGGACAATCGAAAGTTAAATAAAACGGCATTGTTCTTTTCTTTTTAACTTTGAGATTTTCTAATATACAGGAGAAATATGTGGTAAACTACTTCATTAACCATTTGCAACTTATTTCAATTATAAAATTGAAGGAAACTGCTATTTCCTTTGTCTCAAATGATTGGAAATCACTCTCACCCTGCATTTAATATTAAGCATTTTGAGGAAAGAGGATGCTCAAATACCAAACATTTTGATGGTGTAAAACTATCTCTATTCACATTGCTTGTCTCATACTTGTTCACATGGCCGAGTAGTGGGAGAAGCAACCGGTTTAGCCAAGCAACTGGGTGTTTGTTCTCCAGCCATAATAACAAAGACCTCATCAGATGCTGCTGGCGCATCATAATTTTCTAGCTTGATCTCCAGCTGCTGCTCGGGCCTCTCAGAGTGGTAGCTTGGTGGTGGGTTTGGTGCAGGCTGAAGTTTGGAGCATGAAAACTTCAGCAATATTACTGCCATTAACGTAATTATCACAAGCAGCACACCAAACAGGTATTCCATGGCTGGGTTCCAATGCAACCTTTCAGGGTCGCTGGAAGCTGAGTCATGATAACTATCCGTAGTAGACATGGAAAATTTTCTCTTATTATTTTCAGCCTGGAAAAGTAAAACAGGGTTTATGACATATATAATACTCAATCAGCTAGCTTATCCTTTAGCCAGGAATGTGTTAATTGATGGAATTATTTGAAGCTAAAGGGCATGCGGAAGCATCTTGCTTGGTCAAGATCAGGGCATGCCAAATATTGTCCCTAGTGCAAGTATTAAGTTGACCATGTTCTTGAGTTGTTTGAATGAGGAATTTGAAGGCTATAAAAATTATTCTTTATCACCAAATCATTAAGTTATGGTTTACAATTTGAGATCCTTCTATAGAGGAAAAATGTAATTAGGTATAATTAAAAGTGGACATACACTCAAAAAAATATTGTACTAGCAATTAACATATATAGACATTTTGTTTTATTGGAACAAAATTAAAATAGATTTCAAAGTTTTATTTATAATTTGGACATACCCAATTTGAGTTCATTTGAACATTTTAATTGGATTTAACTTGCTTATTTCATATTGTGCTCATTTGAATTCATATTGTGTGCATTTGAACTTTTTAAAATCAATTATCATAAGATTTTGTGCATTTTTTCAATTAAATTCAAGTTGAGCCATATCGAAGTTGAAAGTCAAAAAGTCAAAAGAGTGTGGTTCAAGTCCAATTTAAAAGGCCAATTAATCATTTGATTATTACATTATTTCATAAGTAGATCTAGTGAGTTGTATATTTATATAATGTAAAATATTAATAATTCATGTGTTTGTATTATATTTTATATAAAAATTACTTGTCATAAGTTATATCGACATAAAATATGATATATATTTTTCGGTTTTGATAAATTCATATATAAATTTTTTTTAATTTTAAACCATATCACCTCAATGTTCTTTTTTTTATTATTATTGTTTTCATGTTATGTTATGTTACTTTAAATTGTCAGATCTAATCATAAAGCTAAGTATGAATGACCTGGTGTTTCTACAGATTATGAAAACGAAGATGAACGTGATGATTAAGAAAAGATTCGGAACACCATATATACTTGTTTGCCAATGTATTCAGAAAAAATCATAGTTTTCTAATACTTTGTAAAAGTTAATTTTCTTTCAACCTTATGTATTTTCTTCCCTACGGGATGAGGTTAATGCAATGTTATTCCCATTATTTGCTTTCTTTTTTCCTTGGGTAGATGAACCTTCACAAAAGGCATGCACATCTTTATCTTCACTCTTGGTTTCTTATTAATTGAAATGTAGCTTCACTTATCCATAATTTGCCAAATGAAGCCTAATGGATGTGCTCTAAACAGTGTCAAACTTCTCTAAAACTCTGGTTTTCATTACCAAAGCTTTTTGTATGATCAAAGACACATTCATTGAAGATTTCCTTGCTTTTCTTTTCTTTGCCGATAAATTTTTGCTGTATGAGTACTTTCCTTGAATTAGCATCCTTCCAGCTCCCAAACTATCCTTTGTGTTGAATACAATGTTCAGTCTTGAGTGTTGATGTTTTGCTTCATTCTCTTTCTTTCTCTTCTCTCTAACCAGCGCTCGGACCTGGGACATGTGGCTTGGGTACTCTGACCAAGCACACCAAGCCAACAAGCCGGAACAAGGTATGTTAAGGGTTGATGTTTGTGCATTCTTCTTAGGTTGGAAATGGATTGGACTTTGCCTAGCCATTATATATTATATATATATATATAATTTCTTCCCATTTGCTTTGTATTTTTGCACATTTATTTTCTTCTTTTAGATGAGTTTGCCAGTTTATTCCTCCTGCTACTGAAATCCCTTTCCTTATTAAATGAAAAAAGAAGGAAAAAAGCGGTTCCCAGAAAAAAAAAAAGAAAAGAAAGAAAGATGTGAGAGTGTAATACCGAAAAAAAAAAAAGAGAGATTATTTTAAGTATTTTTATAAGTGGGGGACTCTTTAATAAATAATGAGAAGTGCAGAGGACTTATTGATAAATAACCCAAATTTCTTTATTAATAGAGTTAACTTTTCAGTTTTCAGTCAACGATTAGTCGTAATAAAAAACAGAAACTTATTTCTCATATGTTTCTTATACAAAATAGATCAATTGAAGGATTCCAAGTGAAGGGAAGAACAAATCTACAAGGAGAAATTATCTATTAGAGGTGAGTAAATAATCTTTTTTAATTTTTGGAGTATTGATGGTTAAGTCTTAAAGTGTAAATTATAATCGAGAAACCCTAAAATTTTAGGGTTTCCATTATCCCTCTTCGGGCAGATGATTTAGACTTTAATTAGAGTCAAGTTAAGTGTTAAGAAAGTTGGTAATGTGAATTTATTGTTGAAACAGAAATTTGATGGGAATAGAAAGGAAAATCTTTGTTTCGTATAAATCCTGATATGAATCATGTGTTTGTAGTGATGAATTAAGGTTATATTCTGTATTAAAGGGTTAAATATTACTATGATTATTATATATGGTTGGAAAGCATGTTGAATCTACTTTCTAATGAAACAAACGGGAGTCAAATTCGAGTTCCCTATGAAGAGTTATCCAATTTTTACCTAAGGAGGTGCAGGCTGCCTAGTAGCAGCAGTAAGGGGGAATTACGAAATTTTCCTTAATTTTTATACAAGGATTTACAGATTAAGCTATATATGTTTGGAAAGCTTGTTGAGTCTACTTTCCAATGAAATAAGCGAAATTGAATTTGGAGTTACCTATGAATAAATACTTATTTTTTTATGAAAATGTATACAGGTTGTCTGGCAGCAGCATATGACGTGGATTGCAAAAATTGTTATAATTAATCCACAAAGAATCACGAGATGAGCCATATATGGTTAGAAAGCTTGTCAAGTCTAGTTTCTAACGCATTAATAAGGTTTTAATTCTGAATTGGATATCTTGAGTTATGGTCGTTTTAGTGAAAGTAGCGCAGACTGCCAGAATTAATTACTCGAGTTATTACTTGTTTAACTTAATTATTTTGGTATAAGTGGCCTCAAATGGGTTGATTAATTATTGTTATGTTGGAATTATCTTGAATAGGCCACTAAATTTTGAGGGAGAAAAATTAGGTGGTGGAATCAGAAGAAGGTAAGTAGAATCTCACACACTTTGCTTGTTTTCGAATCTATGTATATATATATATGTTTCTAAATGAAAGAATGTTTTAATTCATTATTTTCAGTGTATGAAAATAGGATCAAGCATATGATTATTTTGTGTTTCTCTATATAAATGATGGATCATGCTTATGATTGAAATGAGAAAATGATTTATGTTTAAAGAATGATTTTATGATAGCTACGTTTTTATATCCCTGGGAAGTGGGATCATCGACACCAGAACTAGTTCTACGACCCTGACTAACGGGTAATAGTAGTTAGCAAAGACATGATCATACGACCCTGGCTAACGGGTAATAGTAGTTAGCGTAAGCCCTAGCTAAGGGGTTATAATAGTTAGCAATGATCATGAGAATGAAATTGTCGATACGGCCAATGTCACGGGTTATAGCAGTGACCATAGCTAACGATTTGAATGATAACGATTTGATTGATAATGATGATTTATGATAATGATGATTTACGATGATTTTTAATGATTGATCCATGATTTGGTTTGCCTTCGATATTTGAATGATAACATATTTTATAATGATTTATGAATTTACGAAATGTTTGACAAAACAATGATATTGAGATGTTTTGATATTATGATTTGATGAATGTTTTGAATGATCTATATGACATGTATGAAACGATGTTTGATTCGATAAGGTGTGTGAGCCTTTACTTACTGAGCTGTGATTTGCTCATTTCTTATTTTCTTTTCTTTTACAGATGATATGAATGATAAGTATGATTAGCTTGAGAAAAGCTAGAAGAATCGAGCATTGGAGAACTACTTAGAAATATAGGATTTTATGAAGTATTGTTTATTTTAGTTGTAATACTCTACTTTGAACCTTTGGAGACTTGTTATCTAGCTATGTTACTTAATGAGAATATTTTATATTTGAGAGTTGTTCAATGATTATGGATTAGGCTTCGTATTGCTTTGGGATTTTACTTCAAGGTAATATGGCCGTGTTATGTCTCGATTCGAGGCGTGACAAAAATTGGTATCAGAGCGAAGGTTTAAGATCCAGGAAAAGAAAGAATTGAGTTATAGATAGTGTAAAACTTTAGTATTTTTAGCATTTACACTGATAAGATTCGATTATTTTATTTTGATCGCTTACAATTTTTTTTTTGTTGGTATTAAATTAGGTAAGAATGAGTGGTAGAAATGAGACATTGGCAGACCTTGTGGGTCGAAGAAAAAGAACTGATAAGAGAAGGGATGAATCTGAAACCACCAATGTTCGAGATAAGCAAATTGATATTAAAAATGCTCTTAATGCTCCGGTGACGCAAGATGATTTAGTTAGAGTGTGTCAGGTGGTGTCTAATTTGATACAACAACAGCAGCAAACATAAAAGAATCTGCAACAACGCGGGACAACTTATGAATGATTTCGAAAGGTCAACCCACATCAGTTTGAAGGCGGCTCTGATCCTTTGGTTGCAGAAGCTTGGGTTAAAGAGTTAGAAAAACTCTTTAAGGCAATGCGTATCTCTGAAGATTTGAAATTGAGCTTGGTTGTCATTCAACTAAGAAAAAATGCTGAGTAATGGTGGGATACCATAAATCCCACATTTGAAGATTCAGATGAGCCTCTGACTTGGAAAAAAAAGTTTAAAGAGATTTTCTTTGACCAATATTTTCCAGAATCAGTGAAAATAGAAAAGGAGAATGAGTTTATGTAATTACAGCAAAAGCATGATATGTCTGTGCTAGAGTATGCCAACAAGTTTAATGAGCTGGGACGTTTTTGTACTCGCATCATTGACTCAGATAAGAATAAGGCAATACGATTCGAGCATGGGTTGAAGCCAAGTATTCAATCTCGTTTGTCTTCTCACATAATTGATAGTTATAAAGATGTGTTACAGGGAGCACTGAAGATTGAGTCAGACATGAAAA